GGCCAATTTCATGAATTGGCGCATATGTTCTGTTTCCTAGTTGGTTTTACTAATATACATATGTAAATATTCACATACTATACAAGAAATTTAATTGTTTAAATATTATTGTTTAGTATAAAAAAAACTATTATTTATTGCATTTGTAATGTAAACAACAAACAAAACAAATAAAAAATGATAATCACATGAAATTGGCAATAGTTACTGTTGATAAAGTTATTTTTCATCTGCAAATTAATTAGTTTTGCCAATATTATTGGTCATATGTATGTGAATATTCACATATACAAGGAATTTGATTGTTTTGATCATTATTGTTTAGAATGATAAAAAAATATTAGCATTAGTAATCAATTATCAGGGATTCACAGCCTCTAGCATTATTTCTTATCCCACAATTTTCACCCAAAAAAAAATATAAATATAAGTACCAGTTGATCGTATGGGGTATGACCCCAGCATTACCCAAAAATTTTCACCTATATGACTTAATTTTAGCCTGAATTGTCAAGCATTTATTAATTAAAATTTTGAAAAATATAACAATTCATAATTTTAACGTAAAATGATAAGTGTAATGTAGGACAAAATTTGAAAATTGCAAAAATTTAGCCATTAGGAAACACGATTTTATATTTGTAAAAAGGAGGTGGCTGAAATTCAAATATAACACCATAACCACGCACTTTAACTGGAGTGCTTTTTTTTTATAACTTTATATTTTATTTCAAAAATTTTATAGTGGGAAACATCAGATTGTTGTTTTATTACATAGATGCATCTTAAGGTTAACAAATCATAAATTAAATTTTTTATTTTAATATCTAACATTATAAACTATTTATAATTTATTTTTTTTTGTTTTGGTGCTATAATAAAATAATACAATAAAAATAAAAATAAAAATAAGCAAACTATATAAAAATGAATGATAATCATTTCATTGGTGCTTAATAGCTACCTAAGATGAAATGATTAACCAGTTACATTTGTTTGTCATATACGCAATGATGCAATGCTTGTACTTGTGATCACCGTTTTTGCACATAATGTATTTTGCATAAATATTATTACCATATTTATTTATACTAATAAAGGCGCTCAATAATAAAAAAAAAGAAAAAAAAATATTTACTTTATCTTTTCCAATTAGATATAATTTTGATATAGTAATGGACCAACAAATGGACCAAAATATTGAAGGTATATCAAACAAGCTGAAATATTAAGTTTTTATTTATAAACAATTCATATTTAATATTTTATATAATTCAACTAATTATATTCTTAATTTAAATAACTAGATTGTAAGTAATATATATATAATTTACAATAATTACTTTTATATTATCTTTATATTTAACTAATTAATAATTAATAATACTACAGGGTGTAAGTTATATGATATCTATATTTATATTATTTGTACAGTTCAATCCAACTAATTTCTTTATTTGTTTGAAAAATTATTTCATAGATGGTAAGTTATTTATTTAATTCTATTATTACTTATTGTTATAATATTTACATATAATTTAAACTATCTAATTTCTTTAATAGATCGTAAGTTATAAGTTATTTATTTAATTCTATTATTTCTTATTGTTATAATATTTACATATAATTTAACCATCTAATTTCTTTATTTATTTAATAGTTTGTAAGTTATTTATTTAATTCTATTATTACTTATTGTTATAATATTTACATATAATTTAA